CCTTCTGTGGTTCACTTTGATATAGAAACCTTCTGTGGTTCACTTTGATATAGAAACCTTCTGTGGCTCACTTTGATATAGAAACCTTCTGTGGTTCAATTTGATAACCTTCTGTGGTTCACTTTGATATAGAAACCTTCTGTGGTTCACTTTGATATAGAAACCTTCTGTGGCTCACTTTGATATAGAAACCTTCTGTGGTTCAATTTGATAACCTTCTGTGGTTCACTTTGATATAGAAACCTTCTGTGGTTCACTTTGATATAGAAACCTTCTGTGGTTCACTTTGATATAGAAACCTTCTGTGGTTCACTTTGATATAGAAACCTTCTGTGGTTCACTTTGATATAGAAACCTTCTGTGGTTCACTTTGATATAGAAACCTTCTGTGGTTCAATTTGATAACCTTCTGTGGTTCACTTTGATATATCACTTTGATATAGAAACCTTCTGTGGCTCACTTTGATATAGAAACCTTCTGTGGCTCACTTTGATATAGAAACCTTCTGTGGCTCACTTTGATATAGAAACCTTCTGTGGTTCACTTTGATATAGAAACCTTCTGTGGTTCACTTTGATATAGAAACCTTCTGTGGCTCACTTTGATATAGAAACCTTCTGTGGTTCAATTTGATAACCTTCTGTGGTTCACTTTGATATAGAAACCTTCTGTGGTTCACTTTGATATAGAAACCTTCTGTGGCTCACTTTGATATAGAAACCTTCTGTGGTTCAATTTGATAACCTTCTGTGGTTCACTTTGATATAGAAACCTTCTGTGGTTCACTTTGATATAGAAACCTTCTGTGGTTCACTTTGATATAGAAACCTTCTGTGGTTCACTTTGATATAGAAACCTTCTGTGGTTCACTTTGATATAGAAACCTTCTGTGGGTCAATTTGATAACCTTCTGTGGTTCAATTTGATATATCACTTTGATATAGAAACCTTCTGTGGTTCACTTTGATAACAGGTTCTGGTCCTTATATTTCAATACTATATTTTAAAGTACAATTCCAAAAAATTAAAGATAATATACAAACCATAACATTAATGCACTTTAAAGAAATCTTGTTAGTCTGATCAGGTTAAAGAATCGAGTTTTTATTAATGTATGTCATTGCTTATTATATTTCATAATCCGTGGAGGGGTGGTGAACAGGGGCGGATCCAGGATTTCAGGTAAGGGGGGTGGCAACTTAAATTTTCTTGAGGTAAAATTATCGAAATATTCTTTATTAAGCTGAGGACAACCGATGCTTTGCAAATTTTAGGAGACGGCATCATAAAGGACACTTTTTGCCCATTGAATTTGAAAATCAAAACGGATTATAAATCTATCAAATTATATCTTTCATGTTCATGTTCACAAGACATTAGTATGTCAGATATCAGTAGTTATATTTTTTAAGTGTTATCTTAAAACTTTGCATTAGGACTTTAAACTGCTCGCATTCAGCGCAAAACTGCAAAAAAACAGCAAAAATAAATTATTTTATCATCTAGTCATTAATATCAAGATAGGGGCAATTTCTACCCAAAATGATATTTTGCTACAAGATGCATTTAACAAAGACGTCAATGTGTGTAAAATGTCGTCTTGGTTAAGGCCTTGGGTTATATCTATTTGTTCAAAAACTCTTTGAGTAAAATGGTTATTTCAGGTCGAATATGTAAATGTTTGCATCTTAATGACATCACAAGTAACCTTTCTGCACTAAAGTGTCAAGATTATACCAACCTGTTCATTATCAATGTAATTAACATACATTGGAAAAGTTTTAATAATTTTAGTATTTTTGACATTTCAGGGGACTTAATACTGGATTTAATCATACTTCCTCCATAACTTATTTAGGTGTTATCGGGTTTTCTATGTTTATAATCTTTTCAAACACATAAAAAACATGATCCTGAGCAAGGCAGTCTAGATCCAATAAGTTATGCGGAATGCAAATATATCATTATGTAGAGAAACGACGATGTAAACAGCTTAATTATATTACTTAACACGATTCTGATACAAATTTCATTCTCATATCTAAAGATTTTTTTGTATAGATATTATATTTCAAATATTTTTTTGACATACATATTTCTGATGAAAACTATATTACCTTCTCGCATTCTATATCATGTAAAAAATGTATACTAATAATATCATTGTAACAGGGTAAAATGCATTTTTATTCTTATACAAAATGTATGTCGATTCCTTTTTAACGTGAGTATTACAGAGAATTGAATAAGCCTTGTTATTTGAAAATGTCATCAATGTTTAAATAATTACAACTGTAAAACTCATTATGCATTGATAAACTATATATATCTTTATTCTCGTAATCCAAAGTACAATTGTATAGAGACATACAAATAAATTAACATACATAGCATAAAATATAAATACAAATGTAAAGTAGAGACTTAAAGTGGTTACCAAGGAGATTATAGGCATTCAATAATTATTTGTATAAATTTGCACAACTTGTTTAGTTCAGACGAAATGTTGTTATTTATAAGATTTTCAAGTTTCAAATATTTGGTCTGATCACAAAACGATACTTTGAAAGCGTCTGTCTACCAATTTTGATAAGAATTGTTGTGTTCAAAGCTCTAAATCAACAAAAGGAAGCAATACTTTTGTCATCTAGAATATTGAAGTAGGTTTCAAAATTTAGACTGTTTTTTAAATAATTTATAGTTTAGAGATTTTGGGGAGTTCTGTAGAGTATCATACCCTGTCTGCGTAAACTGGTCAGTTACTTTAGATTAAGTAGTTGTAGTTTAAAAAATTTATGTTGAACACGTTCTATAACAAAGGTGTTACCCATTCAACATAGTTCACTTCCATACAGCAATAGCGACCTAACTACTTTTACTTCTAGTTCTAGTTGGCATTGTATGTTCAAATTATGTAACCTCCCCTTTTTTCAAATATCTTACATAGCCTATGTTGCTTTCTCAACTTGTGCCTTTTACGCTTTTTTGAAACATCCTGTTCTTGAAAATAAAACACCAAGATCCGTAAATTCGTCAACAATATCTTCCTTAATATCATCATATTTAAAAAAATAACATTCTGTAGTGATCTACCTTTAAAAAAAAGTATGCATTTATGGACATTGACTTTTAATTTCCATATATCAAACTATTCTTTTAAAGCGTCTAGTTGTTTTTGTAGATCTGATTGTGTTTCTGACAGAAGTACTGTGATGTGTGCGAACAATATAATAGAGAATATCATATGGCTTTTTCAATATCACACCTGTATCAACCCGAGACACCAATATAATTCCAATAGCTCTGCTCGAGATATTATATTCTAATGCAGTTTTTATGTAACAATTTTTTTATTGGCTAAAAGTTACCGTCAAATCCACAGTTGACCAGTCGTAACTAAGGAGGGACCCGCCATTTTGAATTCATGGATCAACAAATGTTCGATTACTACAATATTATCGATAATAAAACAACACCTACCTCAAAATCGCCATTTTGATGTGATTTTATCCAAATTTAAATCGTAGAAGTAACGAAATAACCTTCAGTTTGTTAGTTTTCATTTGTACGACGTCATGTTTAGCCATGACGTCTTTGCGCCAAAATCATTCATGAAGTTTCGCGGAATTTTATTAAATTTCAAATTTATACATTTTTTCAAGCTCTAACGTATTATTTCTTTTTGTAATGCATTAGAATCGGAATAACAGTACTGTAGTTGAAGAGTTGCCACCGTCAATTTTGATTTGACGGTCGCAAATATCCGTTTTACTGTCTCCGCTACGCGTCGCCAGTAAAACTGCAAATCTTCAACTACAGTACAGTTATTCCTTAATTGGTTGAGGGTTGATACAGAGTGTGATATTGAAAAAGCAATATCACATACACTTTATTATATACATATACCTCAAGTACAACTAATTTAGATGTTTTTCACGTGACATGACGTAAAACATATATAAGGGGTTTGATAAAGTCCTTGTAAACATGACTGATATCGATTACATGACGTCATACATACTTAGGGGTTTGATAAAGCCGTTGCAACCGTGACTGATATCGATATTATCACGGTTGGCTGATACAGCTTTAGCAAAATCAATAAAAGCACAGAAAAGTTTTATGTTTTGTTTTGTTTCGGTAGTTCAAATAAAATAGGAAGAGTAAATATGCTGTCAATTATGGAATAACCCTTTCTGAAATCAAACTGGTTTTCATTTAACAACACGAATTCTTCTAAAATGTACTAAGTTTTAAATTCAGACTTGACGTGAATCGATTACCCATACAGCTTAATTTATTTATTGGTCTGTAATTCTGAGAATCTAACTGATCACCTGTGTTCATATAGAAAGGTATAACATTACCAACAAGCCAAAGTCCTGTAATAAACACAATATCTAACAGTTTTGCATAGATTGGCAGGAAAATCTGGGTGATGCTCTTATAATATACATTAATAATGAAGTCATCAGCACAAGCTTTGCGATTTTAAAGGGTTTTAATGCATTTAAGAATTTAATTTTCAGTAATAGGACTGTTTAACCATGAATTAAGATCATTTACCTTATCTAAAATATTTACTTCACAATCATGGTCAATCATCAGAATCTGACGAATTTATGTTGATATGTGAAATGACTAGTTCTGATTACACTTAGTTATAATTTATTAGAATATTTTGTAAAAAGTTGTTTTAATTTACAATTGTTCTGCCTGTCTTATCATGATCATATGTATTTAGATTGTTATAATATGTTTTATAATACTTAACAGTTGCTAAATGGTTGCCGTCAATAAAGAATTGAAGTTGAGTCTAAGGTGCATTGTCTTTATGGTATTTATTATGCAGTTTCTAAATTTTATTTCAATATTGTTCTGTTTGTTTTTACATATTTATTTTTTAATACATAATTACAAACATTAGTCATACAACAACGTATTATATGTGTGACATTGATATACATGGAGACGTAAAATAATTTTTATGTAATTACAGGTAACTATGTGTCATCGATTCAGGAAAACAATGTAAACTGATTTTCAGGTATGTATTTTGTAGTTTTAACCAATATTATGAGATCATTTCCAAATGTGGTTTGCTTTTGTTAATTTACATTCCTTAAAAATAACCTTTTAGTGTTTGATCTAATGTCCATTGAACAGACAAATTTCTAAAACAAATCAAGTTAACTAAATTGCTAGCATTATGAAAAGAGCTGTAAAGGTGAATTATGCTTTGAGTCTTTATTTTGGCCCGGAAATGGCAGACATACTAAAATTATTCAAGCCTTCAAAAGTATGTTAATTTCATGTATAGATGAACAGGTTGATATAATATAGACATTTTAAGGCTAAAATATCAATTGTTATGTTGTAAACATGTACCAATTGACATATTCAGTCTTTAGTTTTCTATGTTGACTTTGTAGACTGTTTTATTTCTTTTGGTCGTTTTTCGTTTGTTTTGCCCTAATGCAAATAGGTAAGATTAAATCTAAAAAATATAAATACTGATATCGGACAGTCGAATGTCTTGTGAAAAAATTTATCAAAGATACCAGGAGTATACTTTTGTACACCACACGCGCATTTCGTCTACAAAAGATTCACCAGTGACGCTCGAAGCAAAATAGTTAAAAGGCCATATAAATTACGAAATTGTGAACATCTGAAGGATGGGCAAAAAAGTGCCTTATCATACCGTCTCCTTTGTTTTTTATTTCAAGTTGTTCACAATTATCAAACTTTTATTTCACTTTTTACTTCACCGCCATTTTTTTCTATAAATTACAACTTTAATCTAAATAATGTTAATACATAGTTTCGAACATGAGTATAAACTAACAAGGAACTAACATACTTTGCAACCCCTCCACGGGTTGAGAAAATATAAGCACCAACATACTTTAATAAAAACTCTATTCTTTAACCTGAGCAGCGTAACAAGATTTCCTTAAAATGAATTGGCAAAAACTCTTTACATACATAATTGAAATTCATTGTGTATAAAGGTCCAGAACCTGTTATTACAGTGAACCACAAAAGATTTATACAACAAAGTAACACATCAATGTGGTAACAACTTATGATATCAATGGAAACTTTAAAGTCTAGAAACAGTCATATTAGAGATTTCCAATAAAATGACATACGTACCTAACTCGACGTACGCACGTAACGGGACCGGTTATTGCTAACCTATTAATTTTGTTAAAAGGGTCATTCAAGTTTTAACTCAGTATTCCTAAACTATAAAACCCATTCAGGATAAATTTTATCAATATCAAGTATTTCTAAGATGATGAAAAACGAAAGAAATCATCATTTTTATATATCACGTGATTATTGAGATTCCCGCCAAAACTTCACTGTCATAAGACCACGTATATACACGTATCTTTACCTATCATACGATTGATTTGAGTTGTCTTTCATGGTTTTGACCATGACTTTGTTTTTTGATATACTTTGCAAATGAACCTTTTATTATTTAATATTTGACATGCTTGTATTTGTCGTTATCAGATTGGTGTCCCTTTTTTCTTTCGTCCCTTAATGTTTTATAATATTTAATTTCTTGGGTATTTATTATATGACAGAGATTTTTCTAGCAATTTCAGAAATATCGAATTCAAAGTGTTAGTCAGAATTTGTCTCTGCTAAAGTTGATAACTGGGATTGCATCATACTTAGCATTAGTATGCTTAACATGCATTCTTTTTTCGATTTATTCCATACACTCCTGGGGTCAAACTATCAAACAGAGTCCAAATGGTGTGAATTACGACTACAGTGGCTCGTGCTGTCGTCAACAATAAGCAAATACTCATGCCGTATTATCAGATACTAGTATATAAGGCATTGACTTTAAAAATGTAAACTTTTCAAACGAAAATAAACATTTTTACAAGAGTAAAATTAACACAAAAATGACAGAAAGTAACCAACGACATCCACTGAATTGAAAGCATCTGACTTGGGAAAGCCTATATAGAATTTGGCCTGATTAAACGCGTTTACCAGCGCTCAACACTCTGGTGTAACAGCACAATATAAGAAAAAAAAACCTGTAAAATGCCTACTGGATATTAGTACAATAGCAAGTCACAAGGATAATGGAAGCTGGGAAACACCATTTTACAATAAAAACTAAGCTTTTTGATACAAGGAAACACGGAGAAAAATCAAACAAATTATGCAACAAAAAGTGATATTAAAACAAAACAAGTGTTGCTAGAATAATAATATATGCACTTAAAGCATAAAATATATAAACAGGTTTTTATTAAATATGGAATTGACTGGTAGCAGGCCTGCCTCGATTACGGGTTCTATTATTTTATTGAACAATTCGATCCAGCGAATCGCTATCATTTCATCATCCTTCATATATATGTAATATTTTTCGCTGGATATAAGACATACATCAGTATCATCATCATCATCATCATAAATATTATAGCTTGAGGCTTAATCTTCATCGTCTTTATTATAGCTTGTGCGTTTTATAGCTTGAGGCTAAATTCTTATCTGATATTTTAGCCAATTTATGTCGAGAACTTATTTTATGCATGCATCTCTTTGCTACATAATTTTTATAAATGTCCAAGTTAAAGCCAAAAGAGATCATAGAAGTATGCTTATCAAATGATCATGTCTACTAATTTAAAACAGTAAGAAAGAGATTGACTCGTCCGACTTAAACGAAGCACAAAAACAGCAATTACTAATATTTCAAAATAAACTCCATGTACCGATCTTAGAGTATTCACAGCTACTGAACACTATCTTAAAAACAACTACAACTAATAAATACAGAATAATTATCCAGTCTAGAATATTAATCAATTATTTCGTACTGTTACACCACTGTCCCAGGTAAGTGGGCCCGTTAACATGTTTAACTCCGCCACATTATGTATGGCGGTGACTGTCCCAAGTAAGGAGCCTGTAATTCAGTGGTTATCATTTGTTGCTGTGCTTTCGTTCATTTTTTTGTACATTAATTAGGCTGTTAGTTTTATCGTTTTTGCTGTTTTACATTTGTCATTTTGTGGCCTCTTATAGCTGAGTATTCGGTATGGGCTTTGCTCATTGTTCAGTAAAGTTCGTACGGTGGTCTATAGTTGTTAATTTCTGTGTCATTTGGTCTCTTGTGAAGAGTAGTCTCATTGGTAATCATACTACATCTTCTTTTTTGTACATAGTGTTCATAACTGTATAGCAGATTATATGTAGTTTCTATAAAATGTAATGATAATTTATCAGTAAAAGATACATGATTATTTGTTATTGGGATTATATATAACTAAATAAATGAATATTTATATTACAAGAAACATCAGAAACAAGAATATGTGTCCATTAGATTACACGCCAGTATCACATTTCCGTGTTAAGTGAGATCAAAATACAGGAAAAAATCCAATTCAGTATGTAGTCTTAAACTTGCGAGATGTCTAATGTTCAAACATTGTTGTTTTTAAAACGTATTGATCAAAGTCAAACGACAATCATTTAATTTTTTTGTGATTATGGCCGGATCCAAGATATTTGAAAGAGGGCGTAGTTCCCGATAATTGAATTTATACTGCCGAGCGAAGCAACGCAAAAAAATATTGGACGATTTTATACTAAACATTTGTATAGATAACGTGGAAAATGTGAGATGTTCAAAATTACTTGGCGATCGAAAGGGGGGAGTACGCCCTCTACCCCTGTATTTGCGAATGTACGTTTAGGTATACATGATCAAAACCTCGTCCCAGGCATTATTATAGTTAAAGACTAAAAAGTACTTTTGATAAATGTATCAATGATATGAATTTCTGCCCACGTCAAATTATATTGAATTAAATTATAGTATATAATTATTTTTAAAAGTTAGTCGCGTACACCTTTTACATTCGGTGTGTTGGAATCCACTTTTTAAACGTTAAAACTTATAAAAACAAAAAAAAAGAGATAACCTTCTCGCTTCGGATTTCATTATTTCAATATTTTCATGCTAAATGTTTACTTGGTAGTTTTTAAAATTCATATGTTGAGAAGAACTGAAATATGGGTCCAGTGAAACGACAAGAAATGATGGGTGTATTTGATTATAAGTTGCTAGCTTATTTATTCCATTAAAATATTTTTGTCAATAAAATCATTAAACATTTAATAACAAAATGTTTAAAGATTAAAAAAGTAGTTGGGGTTGATTTTTACATTAAGTTTATATCAGCAAAAAATGCGTGTTCAAAGAGCAAAAATGCATGCAGTGTATGCTCCCCTCCGTCATACTTTGATGCAATAGGACGATATACGTTGAGTTAGTTCGGTTATGTCGAGTAAAGTCATTTTATTGGAAATCTCTATTAACAATTGGTGGAGGTAAACTGGGTTAAAACAAGGTTTTGTAATCAGCTTTCCTTTTTTGTTTAATCAATTGAATAACATAACGTATTTATTCATTTAATTTGTGACCCTCTGGGTTATAAAAGGCTGACATATAAAGCGACCTGATACCCTGAATTTCAATTTTAGCCCATTTTTGGACTGAACATTAGGGGATTGATCTTCAATTTCATCGTTTAAACGGTCTAAGTTAATTGCAAAAAACACATTGATGATCATTCTGGTGTTTTCTTTATAGTTACCGGAAGATTTCAATATTTAGTATACGTTTCTGTTCAAATTAAATATAAAATATTATAAATTAGTACAGTCTATTATATTTTAGACTATTACGTTTAATCGGTAAAGATAATTTTGAGTATTTGGAGTGGCGTCTTCCAATTTGCTTTTATTCTCCTATTACATGTTGACTCTATAAATTTGTTTGTGATCTCAAGCTACAGTCTATCACTTGAATAATGGTATAATCTTCCAAAAGGAGAAGATATGCTAATTTCATCCAAATCAAAAGGACGTACACTTTATGTTAAGATTTTCGTAAATCTCACGAGTCAAACAGTGCCAGAAAATCAAACAAGTGTCCCCCATGTCTTAAAAGTATTGCCTTTTTGGATGTTTTTAGAATTTTGAGAGCGTCCACCA